ATTCGGAGGAGGCCTAGTCTGTGGGATCTAATTGGTCTAGTGGAGGTAATTGGCAGTAGGCGGTCTCTCAAGTACATGATGAAATGATGTATGGTCTCCTGCTTGAGAAGGGGGTTGGATTGGAGGACCTCCAAGGTCCCTTCCGACTCTGTTAGTCTTTGTTTTATTTTTATAAGAAACTGTAAAATGATTAATGTATGAATTTCACGGAGTTCTCAACATATGACTATTTATTTAGTGACTGTTCAGAGATGACAGTGTTGAAAAAAGTTACTTACCACCTTGGAGTTGTGACCATTGCTGCGTCCTCACCATGGGAATGTAAATGAAAAGGATTGTGGTTGATACAGGAATGATCTATGGCGCCATTTTGGGTAGATTTGTTTACCGTATTTTTCAGAGTATATGACACACTCCACCCCCCCCCCCAAAAAAAAGTCAGTGGAAAAGTCTGTGCGTCTTATACAGCAAATATTGCAGCGGGAAGGGGGGCTTTGGTGGGACGCCGATCAGCTGTTCTAGCATGGGCTGCAATGCTGCTGCCAAACGGGTTGCACAAAATGGGCTACGGCAGAGGTGAATGGGCCACGGTGAACGGGGGGTGGTGGCAAATGGGCTGCGGCAAACGGGACAGATGAATATCGGATGGATGCTGGGAGGCAGAGGCAGATTTTTTTTTCTTGTTTTGCTCCCCAAAAGCTAGGTGTTTCTTATACTCCAGAGCGTCTTATAGTCCGAAAAATACGGTATTTGCCATGTTTAAAATAACATTGACTTCCTTATATAGAGTGAGGAGGGAAAATGGTTCCTCCCCAGCCTGTTTAAACATCCTGTTTTGATAATGACTTGTGGTACCCCTTGCTTTCTGTTATCTGCAATCTGTTTTGGGATTATTTTAATTAATTTATGAAAAGTGTTTATATATCATAATGCAAAAAATCCTGAAACAGTTTAAAAGACCTGTAAAACAATTTTTTTGCAATGTCTATGAAGGAAAATGTGTACAGGTAGTCCTTAACTTACAACCATTCATTTAGTGACTGTTTGAAGTTACAACGGAACTGGGAAAAGTAACTTTCACACTTACAACCATTGCAGCATTCCCATGGTTACGTGATCAAAATTCTGACCCTTGGCAACTGACTCATATTTATGACGGTTGTAGCGTCCCAAGGATCCTGCGATCCCCTTTTGCGACCTTCTGACCGGCAATGTCAGTGGGGAATCCAGATTCACTTAACAGCCGTGTTACTAACTTAATAACTGCAGTGATTCATTTAACAATGGTGGCAAGAAAAGTTGTAAAATGGAGTAAAATTTAGTTAACAACTCTCTTGCTCAATAAGAAGAGAAATGTGGAGCTCAATTATCTTCTTCTATATATATAAAATGGCTGTGTGAGTTTGTGTGTGTATGTATGTTCCAGCATAACTCTGGAACACCTTGGGCAATTTCAACCAAACTTGGTACCCAGATTTCTTACTCTCTGGAAACAAATACTGTGGGGGTAAGACACCCCTAACACCCCTCGGGGTGTGTGTTCTGTTAAGAGCCTGTTGTGCCTTAACACGGATTCTACTGTACTGCCTTAAAATGGCTTCTACTGTACAGAGCTGTGGAGTTGCCATGGTAACAGCCTCACAGTACTCCACAAGGGGGTTCCCTCTGGTAAGAGGGAAAATCTAATATTAGAAATTGTGCCGACGTTCATGGAAAGAGGGTTGGGATAAATAAATACCCAGGCGGTTATCAACTAGTGTGGTCATAAATTGAGGACTACATATATTGTTTCACACATGGGACCAAACAGAACATTCAAATTGTTTTTAGACTGAGGAGTGGATGTAAGTTCATTATAATCCTCTTGTTCCTTTGTTTTGTGTCTCAGAGCCAAAAGGCTATCATACAAATGGACTTGATTACAGTTAAATGGGGAAGACAAAAGAGCATCCATAGAAGATCAAAAGAATCATAATGAAAGTGACCTTAGTAAAATCAACCTTCCATTCTTTGCTTTGCTTTGCATTATAGCTACTCTCAATGCTCCTTTGATGTCAAGGTCTGGCTAGAACAGCAGGCATTTTTCTTGACTGTAGAATTCCGATTGTTCTTTTTGTTTTTGTCCTCAGTAGTTCCTGTGTCCCATCAAGATATCAGAAGATTTCACAATCGGTTGTCCTGGAGGAAGGACAGTTGCTACACATTGCTCCAGACTTGCCCCTAACTCAAGCAATTAGCATCCCGCCAGAAGGCAGTCTCCCAGCTTCTGCACCTCGACCTCCAACTTTGTTAGACACTTCTGCAAAACTTATTTTCTTAAGGGCGCCTCAGGTAAGTATGGTTTGGGACACTCCGCCGAGGTGTGGAGAGGTCATAGTTTTATTGGAAGATTGATTTTTTTTTGAGTAACTTACGTTTCTTTTTGTCATTTGTATAATTTTATTTTGCATTCTTGAAGTTTTCCATGGGGCTAAACATGGTGTAACTCCGGCTGCTAACAGTGTGTTTAAAAAGTGTATAAAATTTCATACAGCGAAGTTTCACAAGTACAGTATAAAGCAATGCAATCCTTGGCTAGCCATAGGAATCAGGAGTCAGTTAGTCTGCATTGTAAAATAATATACGCTTTAAAACAGAGGCGATATTCAGCCAGTTCTTTCCAGTTCGGGTGATCCGGTAGTAGAAGCTGCAGGAGGCTCCACCCACCCGCCCCAACGTGATGCGCGAGCAGTGGTGGATTCCTACCAGTTCGGACTGGTTTGACTGAACCGGTAGTGGTTTGGCGGCCTGGGTTGCTGGAACCAGCAGCGATCCAGGCCTGCCACACCCCCAAACCTGTTCTCCAGGTGCCGCCGTAGACGCCATTGTCTTGTTTTTCGCTTCTGCGCATGCGCAGAACAATTTTTAGTGACTAGCCTAGGACAAAGGTGTCAAACTTAACTGCAGGGTGGTTAGATCTGGCCTGCGGGGCCTCCGTGGAAACAGTGAAGGACCGGCCCATGGTGCCTCTGCCAGCGAAAACGGAAAATACCTGCAGGATAAATACAATATTATCCATTTTTATCCCTATGTCAGTTTCTTGGAAGAAACTCTGGAACCATGACAGTGACTTGAAATAGAAATTCGTGACCCCACAAGAGATTTTCCTCTTTGCTTTTCTTCCAGACAGCTGTTGTGTTAAATGGCCATATTCAAAGTCCAGGACGCTATGCTTTCATCCTGCATTGTTATCAGCCTGGTCACGCAACTTTCCCTGTTGAAGTGTTGATCAACGGAGGGCGGATTTGGCAGGGTGAGTTACAGAGTGTGGTGGGTCCGTTTTCAGGAGTACTCAAACTGTATTTAGATGTTGTGCTGAGGAATTCTGGGAGTTGAAGTCCACACATCTTAAAGTGTAGGCTTAAGATACAGAAGGATCTTGACAGACTTGAACATTGGGAGCTATCTAACAAAATGAAATTCAATGGTGAAAAGAGTAAG